AGAAAGCCTAAACTGCTTATTTAATCTCTAATTTTTTACACATCCCTCATTCTCTATTCATCTCTGTTCTTATCATCATATCTTTCTCACTCTTAGCCGGTGTCCTTGTTTATTGGAAAACATGGAGACCAGTGGATGAGTTTGCATCTCCTATACTCTCTGCAGGAGTACCTGTTCTGCTTGCCATGCTTCCTTCCCACCCTTGACTCACTGGGAGACTTTCCATTATAGTCTTGTTCCCCATCTCCCTCTCCTTCTCCCCACCCCGTGTCCGTGTCTCCCTCCCCTCCCCAGCCCCTCCAGTTCTCTCCTCCTCCTTCCAGCTTTCTGTCAGATTTATAATTATATGCTTGTTCTCCAAAAGAGTGAATTTCTTTGCAACATTTTCTTATATACATATAGCATACTTTGATCATATAAATCCCTCTAGTACCCTCTTTCCTTAACCCTCTTCTGGTTTTGAATAGTCCCTGAGCTTTAAAAAAAAAGTCTCTATTTTGGCTTTTATGATTTCAACCTTTTGATTTTGTTTTTTTTTTTAATTATTTGTTCCACTTTTAACATTTCTTTCTCTACCACCTTTCTCCTCTTTGTAGTTAAACTATTAAGAAATAGTCTTACCTAGACTGAAGTACATAAAGATATTACTATTACTACATTACATTATGTTTTTTATTTGTGACTTGTTACCACTGTGCCTCCATCTTTTCCTAAGGTTTCTAAAGTGCTCACCACAGGCTGTATGTCCTCGATTTTTCTTCTAAGAGCAGACAGTGACAGTACATGTGCATACCTCTTCATTTGTGTGTGTGTGTGTGCAACACTGATGTCAAAGAAATACTTTTCAGTGCCATCATATGTATTTTCAATACATTCTATGTAAAAGGTTCTTCTCTTCCCAGTTTAGGTCCATCTCATCACTGTGATATGATAGTGCTGTTCTTTTATCAATAGGATGTGGATGAGTACATATGGTTCCTTCAGTGAATGGTATGCTTGGCAGCTGGTGAGTGAGTACAGTAGACCTAGATGTATGGATGATGCATACACATTTTGTTCCTTGTCCCTGTGTATAAAAACCTTTCTTATGGTTTGTTGAAATGAAAACGGCCACAGAGAACACATACATGTACTCCAGAAAGAATCTTAGTATCTAGTTTTCATAATGGTTATATTGTTTGTACAGCAGAAATAGAAACTGAACCAGGCATGGCAACATGTGGTTTCATCCTAGCACCTTTGGGGTGGGGGCAGTGGCAGGCAGATCTCTCTGAGTTTGAGGCTACTTTTGTCTACAAGTTTACACCAACCAGAGTTATACATAGTAAGATCCTTTCAGGGGCAAGGGAGGGTGGGAGAAAGAGTTGTTATGGGTTGATTTAGTCCCAGGGAAGTGGTTTTCTTTTTTTTTCTCCCCGCCCCCCCTCCCCCCCCCCCCCCCCCGCTAGAAATTTGATACTTGGAACAATTTTAGAGGATTAATCTTAAGCTATTTTACTTCTCTAACTTATGGGATCATGATTTTTATTTTATTTTACTGTCTTCATTTCATGCTAAACTCCTTTGTGTTCCCTCAATTTTCTTTTCTTGCCTTTGTTCAGAAGACACTTTTGGTTCATTACTAGAATTTGTTATCTTTATCTGTGCTCCTGTGGCACTCTTGGAATTCTTCTCAGGTCATTTGTATGTGGAAAACAACCTTTGCTATTGGGTCTGAAAATGCTACTCAGCACTGGGTACCAATTCACTGACAGGATTTTAAAAATTGATAATAAAGCCGGAGATTTCCCATGTAAATCCTTAATATCAAGGACATTCTGTTGTGTAATCTGCCATTTTATACCCTGTAACTTGCTGCTTTGTAGGAAGAGACATATTTTAATTAAAATTAAATGTTTGTTTCAGCCTGTATTGAGTTTATGTAGATAGCTATTGCCTGCCTTTTTCTTGGGAGACAATAGCAAATGTCTATTCAACCAGTTAAGACCCTGACAATAGAGCAAATATACAATTCAACACAATTGTAGCCTTAGTGCACTAGTGGGTTTATTACTTTATTACAGGGGTTACTTAACAAAGCAGGTGCCTTCTCACTGAAAATCCCACCCCACTAAACTCACTAAAGCCACCATTAAAGCACCCCCACCCCCACTTCTCACCAGCAGCTGTTTGCTACATGAACTTTCTCAGCCCCCTTCCTTTTCCCAGGTAGTGTTTCAGCTCCCAGTAATGGTGATGCAACAGGGAAGCACAGTTCCCAGCTCACTGTGTCATGTTACATGATGTCTTCACTTACCATTGGAAGACAGGACAGTCACATAGATTATTTTTGGTTGTTTTCTTTTGTCTGTCTGTCTGTCTGTCTGTCTGTCTGTCTGTCTGTCTATATTTATCTGTATTTTATTTATGTATATAAAATTAGGTAATCCAAACAAAACATTTATTTTATCCATCTATTTTATGTGAGAGTGCTTGAGTGCACACACACACACACACACACACACACACACACACACACACACACACACACAATATTAAGTCAATCAAGTAAAGCCTACATCAGCATTCTTAGAAAATGTACCTTGACTCCAGCAGGCATGTGACTGCAGTTCCCCTCTCTGACTTCTGATCTGTCTCCCTTTCCAGGTTCAGCAGATTGATCGTGTGGTAGAAGTTGTGGAGGAAACAATTAAAGGTAATGGTGGAATGTATATGAGGAGGTTCATTTTCTGTTAAAATGCATACTATGTATATATATTATGTGTATAATATGTATGTTATATATACATACTATACTATATGTATAATATATATGTATATATATATATATATATATATATATATATATATATATATTTCTTAAAATTTGTATTTAAAAATTTCTATAACACACTGTAAAGAAATGACCGATGACGTCATGAACAGACATCGAGGACTTGCAGAGTAAAGTAAGGTAATCTTTAAAAGCCATATACTATGTGATATCAACTATATGTCATTCTGGAAGATGGCAGTTCTAGAAGCCATCAAAGGTCACCTAGAGGTGTAGGGAAGATTTGAGGAAACAGAACAAGTAGGTATTCGGGGAGTGATACTTTTGATGATAATACCTATCAGGATCCATTTGCTCAAGATAATTAAACATCTACTGTCAACTGTGAACCCTAGTGTTATAGGATTCCCACCTGGGTCCCATCACTGCTTTAGCCCCCAAAATAACACACAGAGACTCTATTAGTTACAGTACTGTTGGCCAATGTGTAGGGCTTCTATTGGCTAACTCTGTCTTAAGTATTAACCCATAACTACATATCTCTATATATGTAGTCTTATATATATCAAGGTCTTATCTTACTGAGAATGCCAGACTCATGCTCCTCTCTTCCTAGGATCATTTGGCAACTCCCTACTACATTTCCCAGAATCCTCTTTCTCCCCCTAGTCCCGCCTATCTGGCTTCCCTATTTGCCAACAGTGTTTTATTCTTTAACCAATAAGAGATACATATACAGAGAAGGACTTACCCTCTTACCCTAGTGACCTACCAGTGTCAGCTCCATCCATAATAAGCCAACCCCTCAGGCACTCTGCTGTAGTTTGCTGGCAGTGGATGATGGAAGCTCTCTGATTCTGCTCAGTTTATCTGTGAACTTGAAGCTTCTCTGAAAAATAAAATGGATTCTAAAAATGAGTGGTATTCAATAGTGAGCTTACCTAGAGGTGTGTAGAGGTACGGTAGCACACAGAGGCCTTTCCCAGGCCAGGTTGATGAGGGATGTCTTCTTACTGCTGAGTTTGGCCCAGTGTAGATTCACTGGAGAGGCTGCGTTGAGTTTAGTTGTGAGAGATAATGGTAGAGATGAGATGAAGTTGGTGGGAACCTTCCTTGGCTGTTTGGAGGGTAGAAAGCAATGACTGTCATGCTAGGGATCTATGAGAGGACTGGAGGCTGAGGCATGGTCTGACAGGTTCACTTCCTCTGTAGAGGTTAAGAGATTGGCTGAGTTTGCTTAGTCATCTGACTGTGAGACTGCCTTCATCATAATTCGTAAGAGATACTCGTTCTTCACCTTCCCTTTCTACTGCCCACACTTCCTTTAGAGAGCCCAAGTCAGAGAAGTAATGTGCTCCCCCACCTCTAGCAGTGAGACATTTGTTGATTGCCTCTCAGCACATTATTTTTTCTGATGCTTAATGTTCTCAGCTGCACCTGGAGAGGATTTGAAGGTTTTTCTTCAGGCTTTTCAGCTACTTGCTTTTATCTTAATGTCCCAAAGAGAACTGTGCAACCTCTGTTTGCCTCTTCAGAGCTATTTTCTACATTCAACTGTGTCCATTCAGGCTGGCATTTATGTACTATATTATTTAAGATCCTTGTTTTCTGGTGCTCAGGAGGACCTTCACTCTGTTTTCCATTAGAACTTTTGCTCTCTGGATCCCAGTAGCATCCTTGCTTTCTTGTATCTGTTAGAATCCTCAGTCTCTGGAGCACAGTGGGACACTCATTCTCTAGTGTCTACTAGGATCCACACTCTGTCATCTAGTGATATTTAGCTAATTGGGGGAGGTGACTCTTTCCTTCCATCATGTGGATCCTGGGAATTGAACTTGGGCTGTAGGTGTATTTTTGCAGGCAAGTGTATTTTACCCACTGACTCATCCTCCTTAAGTTTTAATCTCTCTCTCTCTCTCTCTCTCTCTCTCTCTCTCTCTCTGTGTGTGTGTGTGTGTGTGTGTGTGTGTGTGTGTTTATATATATTTTGTTGAGGGAGGGTATGAGTTATAAAACCGATCTGAAGGGAGGGAGGGAGAGGGAGAGAATACGAATGTGTTATGAATACAAAAAGGGACTATTGGATAAGAGGGTGCTCTCTGTGGGAAATGAGGGGTTTGGGGAGGGTAGAAGAACAAATATGTATGAAAATGCCATAATGGTTATATTACTTTGTATTCTAACTTAAATGAATTAACACAGACCAGAATAAACAAATCCCACTACCTGACAGTCAAATAACCCCACCTTTCTTCCCTGTTTAAATATTGACTTACCTACTGCCAGACTGAGCTTACATGCTAACTCTTGTAAAACATAATGTCTGATTACATGGGAAGAAGAGACTCCAAGTTTCATTAATAATCCTAATGAAAGACTTGGAGAAATATGCTGCTGTAAGCCAGTTTCTGTTTGGATGTCATTGGTTAAATGCCGCTGTGCTGGTTATTTATGCTATGTAGTATGCTCAGATACGGCACTTTCTAAGATCCATGTTCTGATTTCTATATCATATTGCTTTATATCATATGATGGATATGTCCCACAAAGAATGGTATTACATATAAACTTTATATTCTTCACTCTAATAGGACTCATTTTGTAAACTACAGCAAGTTCTGACTCCATTACCAAAACAATTTTACTTAACATACATAGCTCTAACCTGCCTTTTATATACACTGCCTCCCCAAGGATAGAGGGACAATTCCGTCAGCAAAATACTTTCTGTGCAAGCCTGGGGGCCTAAGTTTGACCCCAGAACCCACAGGAAAAGCTGGCATGGTAGTGGGTTTTTGTAAATGCAACTCAGGGAAGGTGGATGGACATAGGTGGATCCCTTAGGCTTTCTGGCCAGCCCACCTTGCCGAATCTGCATTTCGAGTTTCAAGCCAGTCAAAGAGCCAGTCTCAGTGACAAGGGGGATGGTTCGGGAGCACCACCAAACTGTGATTGTACTTTGTATCCTCATCATATTCACACCCCTTTTGTGTGTACCCATACACTTGGATACACGAACATCACACACACACACACACACACACACACACACACACACACACACACACACACACACACACAGACACACAGACACACAGAGTTTTTCCCCCATACATGATTTTGCCAAAAATAAAAATCTTAGGCTGGCTGACCATAACCTGATTAGAGTGGTGTTGGACACTGGCCTTGTCATTCCTCATTAGGTTCTTGGCATTGAGAGCCACTGTCTGGTTGGGTGTTATTTAGGGTCCCTAAGACAGGAAAGCAGCTGGGATTCTCCTAGCTTTGTACACACATGCTTATGTTTCCAGGATCCTGTGAGAGTCTTACCATCTTACCTCCTTTTCTTCTCATCACTGCACATGAACGACTTCATAGGGATCACCTTGAATGTATAATCCTTTAATTATTTAGGTAACAAATCACTTACAAGATTGATTTTTCATTGTCAGTTTATTTATAAAAAAAGGAAGATTACATTCACTTGTAGTGTTTGCATCATTAGCAGGTCTTGGTAGGACTACACTTGCATTCATTACTGTAGCAACTGTAATCAGAGCCTTGTCTTGCTCTTGGTATCTTATCTTTTCCATAGACTTCAATTCATTTGTGTTCTACAGGAAGCCTGGTCACACTGATTATGTACTGTGTAGTGGCAAGTCTGAAACCTTGCTCTCTGGTTGTGTTTTGGGCTTGGGTGGTGGCCAGCAAGCCACAGCCATCGTCCTGTCTGTGCCCTTCTCCCAGCGCTGGGTTAGATGCTGGAGCTGCCACACCTGGCTTTTTGTATGGGTGCTAGGGATCCAAACTCAGGCCCTCATACCTGTACACCCCTGTGGGTTTAAGTCTTAAAAGTCAAATTTGGCTCAGCGGTTCCCAAAGTCATGTGTTTCTTATACTCCTGTCTTTTTCTAGCAGCTAGTTCAGCTTCCATTGTTGGCTGTGCTAACTTTAGGATGGTAGCCGTGAGCATGAGAAACAGTAATGTTTTATAATGTGACGTGAATGCCGTATACAGGGACAGAAGCATCTGTCACTTTATTGGTTTAAATACCACAACTTTATAGCTTGTTAACTAATTTCTGATTCAGGAAGGTCTTATCCTAGCAAGACAGGCAGTGGTTTGAGAGGCTTCTATTCAGGGTCAGGGCTAAGACCTACCTGCTCCTTCAGGACTGTTTTGCTGTTGACAGTTTGGATGGGCACTTTAGTTAGACTGCAGAGAATTCAGAAGGATACCTCACACGTCTCCTTCCCTTGTCATAAAAGGCATCTCTGTTTACAGAAGAAGTAATTAAGACATAAGATCAATGTGTTGTAATTCACCTGCAGAAGGCTTTTCTATGAGAGTAAGAGGACTTGTTGCTTAGGTGTGTTGTCTGTCGATTAACCTAACTTTGATTGTTATGAGCTGAGCCTACAATAGTATGAGATGGAAGCAGAGTATCACTAAGACCCTCCTGTTCTAGCAATGCTTTCATTTTCCTTGTGAAGTTCTTTCTTGTCCACACATCGGTTTCACACTTTAATATTGTGGGCAGGCACATTTTTCTGTGTAACTTGAGTCTTGATATAAAATAATCTTCAGGTTTGCATAGACTTAACCTGTGTTCTCTGATCTTATAGCATCTTCCTAACCTACCTGCCTACTAGGAATGATCTTATTTTTTTAATTAAATAATTTTATTCATGTTAAGTAGTATGGTTTTTATTTATTCTTTAAGAAAATCATGCAAGCATATGATGTGTTTTGGACATATTTATCTGTTTCTACTTAAACTCTTCATAGTTTCCTCTTATAACACTCTCCCAGCTTCAAGTTCCTTTTTCTTTTAAACTACTCCCTGAGTCTAATAGTGCTGTGTATATATTCATTAACATGGGACTGCAGATAAGAGCACCCACAGGGCAGCTCACAACTG